TGACGACGTGAAAAGGTGTGCAAGCCAGGCTTTGTACGCATCTCTTCAAGACATTCTTCTGGAAAGTCGTTTATACGATAATTCTGCGGCTCCTTGTGTGCTATACGGGAGGCGTTGATTTATTGTTGTATATATACATACCACCGGCACGAGTAACCGCGAAAAGGCGTTAAGAGTCTATGCGCAATATTTCAAGTATTTGTAAAGCAGCGCCGTTCGTCGTCGACTAATGGTCGAGGCGATAATAAATTAATCATCGTGCCCTCGAAAACGCCGGGTTGACCGAACACTTAAACACAACCGAATAATAATGCACACTGTATGGACGGCTGATAACAAAAACCCGACCTCGAGAAAAATAAACATAACGGCGACGTTACGGTTCAGCCGGATGACTGTTAGGACCACTAAAAGCAAACGCGCCCTCAAATTCGGTCCTCTGTAGTAACAATATGTAACATAATACCTAGAAAGTGGGACTAGAGAAACATAATTAGAAGGAAGTGACCTTGTCAAATTTACTTATACTATTATTCGTGTCGATTTCGAATGCCAAATTACAATAATATAAGCCTAGTGGTCGTTCGCAACGCGTTCTATGGCCTCAGTAGTGACAATAGGCCATTTTGAGCCATTTACTGTAACACAAATCAATAGCTCGGTATTAATGTTGTATAGATACAAAACAGTGTAGTTTTTATAAATATAAACGATGTCAACTGACGACTAACTTTATGTGCTCAAATAATTTATAATATACATTATACCTAAATCAAAATAATGTAATAATATATTTTTTTCAATCAATGCGTTCTTGGTGAGCACATTAATAAATAATACGAGTTCCGGTGATGACATAACAGTTAACGGATGAATTGATGTGGCGGTAGCGCGCTCTAACGGACTAAAGACTTTAGACAAGGTAAACGACAGTCGATATAATTATTTCGACAAAATACAAATGCTGATTAGTGATTATTTATTATTATTTGTCTAACTCAATAAAGATAAATAGTATCTAATTTATACTATAGTATAGTATAAAAATACTAGCGCTTGTAAAAGAGGTCTGTTATCCTAAGAACTTTTTGATTTGTCGTTTAGAAATAACCATTTAAATATAAACACAATAAACCCAGTTGAAAATATATGATAACAATATTTTAACCTATTCACAAAAAAATATTGCCAATGGATTATAAATTATTTACATTGTTATCGATCGACCGTTAATATCGATCGTGTTAAGTAGTTGACCGGTCTCCAATGAAGATATGGCGTCCCTGTGGCGCAGTGGAAAGCGCACTGGACTTCGGTTCCAGGGGTCGTGGGTTCGACCCCCACCAGGGACTCATAACAACAAATCTTTCTTAAGAGAATTTTTTTCTATTTTTTCGCTATGATATTTTCATGGATAATTGAAAATACATCGTGACAACAGAGAAAAACGTTAAAATATAAATAAATAAAAAACAATACACTCGACTATTGGCACGACGCGATACAAGTATAATTGGACGAAAATAGACGACCGTTATTTTTCGATCATTAATATCAATGTAATATTACCTGTTTATAATGTTTTTTCTTAATTTGTTATAGATTTTGTAGATTATTGTTGAACGAATTTGGGAAACTTGCAACTAAATTACAATCGTTGCCAAGGTTAATAAAGAAAACAACATACCGGTGGTTAGTGACGTCACGGATCCGATTATGACGTCACAGACTACGGCACAACTATGACGTAATATCTGACTTCTAAACAACCAACAATAGTTGTGGCGCTCAACAACAATAATATCAACTAAGGTAATTCATTTCTAGTAAACATATCAAACGTATTATTAAAATAAATTTAATAGAAACCGCAGTGATAAAAAAACTGAAAAATATTAAATTGTCGGCAACGAAAAATCAAAATAACGATGTAGCGCTCAACGAGAGCAAACCGACGACGGCAAACAAAAAATGAGGTCAACTTCAAGATCATTTTCTAGTATAAATAGCAGTTGGTTTTCCTAATTATAATTTACATGCTCGATAACCGTTCATTTAAGATAGACATTTTCTCATGTTTAATGAATGTACATATTTTCTTGTTGCTGCTTTTTGGGTAGGTAGGAAATTCGTACATAATAGTATTATTGTTATGTTTTCAACACGAACAAAATCTGTTCCTTGGTTCGTGGTCCTATCCGCGAGTGTTTTTATTTAAACTCGAAATAATTGTACACGCTTATAGTGTGTCGTGACCAAAATCGTAAAATGCCTCTTCCGCTACACATTTCGCGTGATACTACCTGCGCGTTCGCATCGAACAGCTCCCTCGCCCCTTACATAATACAATAATATAATATATATATATATATATATATATATATATATATATTTAAAACTCCCAGGCACCCGGAAAGGTTCTTCCGATTAGCGGTGTCAGTCACACACGAATAAACGAGAGAATTATTACGGTTTAAAAAACATCATCCGCGGCGATAATTGCACGCAGTCAAACACGATAACAACATAATAATAATAATAATCGCCTTTTGACATTTTGTACAGTTACACGGTGTACATTAACCTCTTGTTGTAGTAGCAGGGCAGGTCGCTCTGCCGTGGGTCGGAAAAAGGGATAAAAGGTGTAAGTATTAGTATAGATGGCGGTGGCTCTTATTGTATTAACGCTGGCGCACGACAGCGACATGCAGTATTTATGAACGGGACGTGAGAATGGAACAGATCCGGTGAATTTTCCGAGTGGAAAACCCGTTGAAAGTTCATCCGAGTTGTCGCGCTTAGGCATTACGATTGCCGCGTTGGACAGATCATCGGAGAAGGGAAGAAGGTGCACGCAGAGATGTACAAAACTTTTACACTCCCCCCCACCCCTCCTCGCCCGATCATCATGACCGTCCGCCGATTTCCGGATGTGACAAGGAAAACTTTAAACCGTTCTGAGTGAGTGTACCCACCCCCCCCCCCTCTCCCTCCTATTACGAATGTCCGTATCCCGGTGTATGCGTGGTCCGACAGATAATAATTATAGTCCTCACGCGCCACACAATGGTACGCGACGAAACTTTTCAATTAACTGCAGACCGGAGATCAGGACAACAGTTACTAAAACGAATATAAACGTCGACCCTGACCCCCCTCCCTCCAATTTACCATTCTGCCGCACAGTTATGTTATGATTGCGTTATCTTTGCTCATAATTATAAAAATTTCTAAAAGGTGTCCGTGCCGTGCAATTTATTTCAGCGGTATATCTACTACCTTTTACTAAGCACAATAATTATACTACCATTGTTCAAAATACTAAAGGCGTTATTAACAGGGATCAGTATAAGGCCGAATATTTTGCAAAAGCTTCATCCAGAATAAGCTATTGTTCACTTGCTCTCCGCTTGTCTCATTATTCTTATAAGTCTATTTGTGTATATTATTATTATTTATTAAAATTAATTACAATTGTTAGTATTGACAGTAGTCGACGAAACTACAAACAAAAATTATTATTTATGTATAGACTATAGAATGTACTACTGTAGAAGAGTGACCACTCTCATATAGGCTATCGCTAAGTGTCTTTGGATGGAGGGTCTTAATTATAATAAAAATAGGTCGCGCGAAATCGCTTAGCTAAAAATTAATTACAAATTATTAAACGTTTGATAACGTATAGTTAGCTAACACATGCATGTGCACTGTTTATCGATCGCTAGGGTCATGATAAGTATATCGAAATGTAATAACATATTTATGATGGCTACATAGCACAGTTAAGTAATATGTGCAAAAAAAAAACAACAGTTGCTCGAGATAAACATTTTTTCGCGCATTTTTCAGATTCCGTTTGTCTCCGAGTACCGCGACCGAAAGGAAAATGTAACCATTAAGTATAAATAATAAAGCCGAGTCGTAAAACAGACTTGATTTGAAAAATTATATGATTGTGTGCGGTGGGATTTTTGGGAATTTATTATACGAAAAACAGGAAGTTATTTAATATTATTTCTCTTCACTTACATTATAATATAATAGCGTCGGTGGTTTCCCTCGTGCATACAACTTACACAAGCACACTTTTCGAATATATTTTCCCTGGAGTTTTTTTTACTGTCATTACTACTATCACTGCTTGCTGGCGTTCATTCGACTCCGAACTATTGCATAATCGATTTATTACTTTTTCGTTTATAAATATATATATATATATATATACACAGAAGGTAGTATATGTATCGATGTATTTGGTTCTTCTTCTTCATTTCCTCGTTCCTTCACCCCTTGACCTCGTGTCTTCCCTCGACCTATTTTACGATCCGGCTGGCAATTCCACTAGGACCATCTCACCCTCCGCGGCAGATCATCTTCCTCTTGGCGTCATGTCCAAAAACCCGAACGATAGCAATAAAAAACGGTTATTACGAGACACACACAAACACACACACACACATCTTACGAATGAAGAAAACCGTTCTAATGCGTTTCAGGTGCTCAAAACACATACAGCACGCGTGGGGTGTAATAGTAGTACATAAGTGTGTATGTTTGTATGGGTCAGCATGTACTAAAAATGGAAAGGATGTAAGAAACGAGCACATTGGAAACACACCGCGCGTTACATTATTCAAAAGTCTGTGCGATCGTATACATTTTTTCCTTTCGCCCACAAAATTATTTTATTTTTTGCCCCTATTTATCCTCCTATATTGTTTATGGCAATTTACCCTCTTTTTTTTTCAACAAAGAGATTCTAAGATCCTAAGAGATTCTATCGGGTTTTGCCGGTGTATTTCTTATTCGTACCCTTGATCGAGCATGGGAAATTCGCACAAGGTAAACTCGAACGGTGACAAAAGGACCGATCATGCGGGTAGAACCTTTTCACCCCGTTTAACGACCCCATAAAAAGCTTTTCTCCTCCGTTTTTACGGTGATGATTATTATTATTATTATTGTCTATACCCAAAGCGGATTATGCGTGGACTTACCGGCCCGAACTGTTCGAAGTAGTTTTTGACGTCCTCCAACGTTGTTGGTGCCGATAGGCCGCCGACGAAGATCTTTTTGGTTCGAGTCACCATCTGTAGAAAACACGAAAACATAACAATTATTATTGTTGCTTTAATGTGTAATCACAAAAGCAATTAATAAAAAAAAAACAATTATTAATTTGAGGTATTTGTTTTTACATTGATGTATTTTTATTTTTAACTTTGACGCGGATCTGAGAACATAATGCTTTTACAATGATTTTCACAACACAATTAAATACCTATTACATATTATATAACCACCATAATTCTACAAATACAATTTTAAGCACAAATTTGTGCTTTAAGACATTTTAATCGTGCATAATATATAGATATAGATAATTACTTATTAAACCCAATTCTACATATTCTAGCTTATGTAGTTTAAGGCTATGGGTACCTGCCAATTTTTACGTCAAAAACTACCTATTTAACTTCAATCGGTCCGATCATTGTATTGAAGCGATAAGACTTTTGAAAACAGGTTTGAATTTGGCATGAAGTCTACTTGAGATCGGTCAGAGAATTTTTTTTTCAATTTTTAGTTGTTTGATTTAAAAATTTGGAATTTTATATAATGTTCAAACGTGTTTTATACACAGTAGGAATAAGCTATCAAAAAAGTACTCCGACCGATATCAAGTAGACTTCGTGAAACTGTTTTCAGAAGTCTTATCGCTTCAATACAATGATCGGTCCGATTGAAGTTAAATGGGTAGTTTTAACTAAAATGGCTTTTATTCATAGGCAAAATTATTTAAATTAAAAATAATACCACGAAGCTTATACAAATTAACCGTTAAATTAATTGACATGGTAGAAATTTACTAAAACTACTTTTTTCTTAAATATTGCCTGTACAAAACTCCTTAAAAATTGGCTGGTACCCATTAGCCTAAATTGATATATTTTCTTATGTAAAGGTAATATACATTTTTGATATAATGACAATACTTAAAGATCTTCCCAATATAAGTTTGATAACTATAATGTTTATGAATAAATAAATTTATTCATTTTATAATAACTTTATTAAAAACAAAATATATATTTTTTAAACCAATTTTAGAGCAACACTGAGATAACATTGTTGTCTCTTCAGAGTTTTGCATTATCTTCATTATTTCGATAAGAACAATGTACAATATAGTTTACACAGTCAGCGGTTTCTTCAGCTCGGAGGCTTGTATGCAAGTCAGACCGGCACTATTTTCTTTTTTTTATGGTGTAACTAAACTTTAAGATATTTCTTTTGAAGTCTTTTATTCCGAAATGAAGCGGTATAACTTTACATAAATTAATTTATATAATATAGTATATACTTTGTCATTGAATTTATTGAAAAGTTCATAAAAGGTAACCCTTAACGAAGCTCATAATAATTTTGCGAAAAAGATTTAAAAATAACGTATTTAATAAAATACAACTTAAATCAATTGCGACCAATTTTGTTCGTTGTTAATTATTGTATTGTTGTGAAAATCTATACATATTGTTATTAACTGTGATGTAACCTATACCGTGTTGAGTTAAAACCCTATAACGGCCATGGCGAAAACAACTATGCGGTACAGGGAATGTTAACGCCAATTAGATTATGGCGTTAAAGTTTAATCCGACCGGGGGCTAGGGCTGGAAAAAACGAGAACCAAAAGGCCAGAGGCTCACGGCATGTGGTCGTGCATAGTAGCCGTCTGTAAGTATACATCAAAATCATGTTTAAATAATTTTTAAAAAATTGAGCGATACCTAAACGAACTCCACTGCAATATTCATGGTGGGCCCTTAGAGAGTTTCCAAACAATATCTCGTCCGTACGTCAAAATTCCGCTTTAAATATTTTATAGCGGTAGGCCCGACTGTATACAGCAATCGTCTTTCTGCTTCGTTCGTGTTACAGTAGCATCACTTATGGAAAAAAAAGTAAAAACTACTACTGGTACTCAACCGTCAGAATACATAATAAATACATTACATTTCTAACAGCTGATTGACGTGATGTCTTGAGAACGAAACAAATTTGAAGTGCATATCACTTATAATTATTCAACAAACGTTTAAAAAAGCATAACCTAAGATATTAGGCACTGTGGTGCATTAATGAGCTACCTTAGATTTTCCTTGCATCTTATTACCGGTTAACACATTTTTTTGTTAAAAATAATAAAGAAATTTTACTTTTAGCTAATAGCATTATTTTCTAAAGCCAGTCATCACACTATTGATAATGTTACCAATCGCAAGTCAATGTTTGTTCAATTATTTGAAAATTCCTACTCAATTAATGCTCCCGCTTTCTTGAAGCTACTCTTTAACATTATAGCCTAAACGTAAATAACCATTAAAGTGTTCATTATATTGATGACATAGCACCTAGCAAGATTCTTTAAGTTTTAATTAAATTAATCCTACATAGTTATCATACAAAGAGAATAAACGGTAAATTATCGAAGATGGCGGTTATTGTTTTATTATTTTTTACCCCATTAAATTAAACGATAAACGCTGAATAGGTAAGTAATATGTAACAATGTAAAGAAAGTAATACATTTTTATCAGCCAGCTGCCATTTAATACTTGTGAGAGTGTACTAGAGTTTACTGCATAAGACTGCATTAAAAACGTGTGGAAATGTAGCATTTATTTGTTTTTTCATATTGTACGTTCAATTGTCTCGAGAATAACGATAAACGGCTATAACGAGCTGACAATACCACGAAATCAAAGAAAAAAGAAAAAGAAAACCCAAGCACAACCCATTTGAAAGGGTGGCGACGACTACGACAATAATAATAATAATAATAATAATACTAACAATTAATCTGGCCTCGTATAGAGAGGAATCTTATGTATTGTAGCGTCGAGATTACTCGGCAACCGCAATTTCGCGGCGTCGGCGGTGATTCGGTAGTGTTTTAAAGGCGAACGGGTGTAGATCATTTGAGGGGAAGGGTGATGGTGCGGTGCGAGGGACATCGTTTCGCATTCAAATCGGATGTACACACCCCGTAACGACACGACCCCCACAACCGTCGTTTATGTATGTGAATATATGTATAGAGTAATATAATATGTGCAGCGCTATTTGTGCCCGGCTAGAGATAGTGTCGGACGGAAACGATGCGAAAAAGGTCGAGACGATAAATTATTTTTTAAAATATATTATTATAATGTGAAATCCGAGAACGGCAATACGATAATCGGTCGGTCGGTTGGTCGGTCAGCCGGTGCCGCTATCTGGCGACCGCGGTAAAGTAAAAATATATAATTTGCCCGCCAAAACAAATAAAATACGTCTCGCGGCCACGTTTAGTCCGATAATAAAGCCCCGGATTGCACGAACGTCCATTAAGAGCTTAACGAATTTTCATTAATACTCGGCAGTACCTTAACCGTCGAAATACACAGTGAACCCGCGGTCGGTCTGTTGTAATAATTATTATAACGAACTTCTACATATTATAAACTTTTTTTTTTATTCGACCCGGTATTAAATTATTAACGATTAATCAAGATCAAGAGTAAATTTACCATGGTTTTATGCGGTTGCTGCAGTTGTTGCTGTTGCTGTTGCAGTTGCTGTTGCTGCTGTTGGCAGAGCGTGGCTGCTATTATAGGTTGCTGTTGGTGATGATGCAGTGGTGGCGGCGGTTGTGGTTGGGGGACGGCAGAGTAAACGGCTACGGGGAAAAGGGGAGAACCACTGAACGGACAGGGTTCCGTGTTTACTAGTACGTGGGCGATGGTGCCGGCCGACGGATACGGCCACGGACACGACCGTGGACGCGGTCAGAAACTATATATTATTAAAAAAAAAAAATTATCGTTGACTACGACGACTGCGCTGGTATTCCTTGTAGGCCGAGAGATTGGTAATATCCGTCGGGCGAACAATAATTATTTGGCGATGAACGCGAACGGCAGAGCTATATTAACAAGACGTCTGTTAACGACAAAGCCGGCGGGGACGTGGTGTCGACGACGAAGGGAACCGCGAGCGTAGCCGTACCGTCCTGGATTGGGGAACGCGCTCGAATGGGCCGCCACCTAGCGGGCCACACTTTAAGGGCCTGTGCCACCTGACCGGCAGAGGCGGCGCGCGCGTCGTCCCTATAATGCTCGGCGACTTCCGCGTGTGCCCATGGCAACCGTGGCGGCGGCAGCGGCGGTACGGTATCCGCGCGCACACGCTAAGCGCGCGCTCGGCCGCCGTTCTTCTGCCCTCGCGAAAGCTGCTCCGTCGCCGCACGACCGTAATAAATAATCCAAATAATAGGCTTCTGCAGCTGGCTTGCTTGTGTATATATATATATATATATATGTGTGTGTGTGTTCCAAAGTTTTTGTCTTTTTTTTCCTGCCAAACCTGCACCTCCCTATCGCGGCGCCCGTACAGTCTTTATAGCCACATCTCGCCCTGGGGCGTTTTTCAATTAATAACTTTCGGAGTAACTCGTTTATTATTATTATTCTTTTTTTTTTTTTTTGTTAATGAATCGGATTTTTCTGTAGTATTACTATACTATCCGGTGAGACAAAACACAAAAATTACGATCCCAAAAATTGACGCGAAGAATAGTTACCACGATGATTTTATCATTATTGAATAATTAGATTTTAATAATGTGTTTACGCCGACCCTCGCTCGGTCTTTGCCAGTACTCGCCGGCCGAGTCGTTAAGTCGTATCGTTCGCCGCAATAAGAAACTAGACTTCGCCGACGTCATAAATCATCCGTTAAATTCAAAAAGATGTAGCCTGAACCAGAGAAAAAAATCGCCGTAACGAATATACTCTTGTCCAGTATAATAAATTTAAGTCGACGCTCGGATTAAAAATTTAAAATACTTCTATTCGTTTTGAAATTGCCAACGTTTTTATGGATACAACTTACGTTTTAGTGTTGTTAAAAACATGACATTTTTTTTCAAACTCACATTTTGACGATTAGTACGATATAGAACCATGATTTCCATACTTACTGGACTATGCTATGCATTATTATTGTGTCGCCTTGTATCAAACTCACCTAGACGAATACCGTTTAA